GAGAGAGAGAGAGACGTATATCGAATGCATTTTAAAGTTGGGATATTAATTCTCCAGTGATAGCGTTCCTGTAAAGCTGCAAATTACATGGATCACTATATTGTGTGCGACGTGTCTACTATGTTAACATACTGCGGAGTAGACTAACACGCATAATCGACGCATATAATCAATCTTCATTCATACATGATTCCAATGCACAGTCTAATTAACCCCTCCACGTGGTATCACTGATCGACTGCAAGCTGTTTTTATATTATTTTCTCGATTAAATATGCAAATATACTAACAAAACCACAAGATATTTTTTTTATCACTCTCCTCATTAATTAAAGCCAAATATAAGTGGTTTAATTATTATCAGCGTAGTATAAATAAAGATATTATATATAAAAGTTAAATAACTTAAGAATTAAATATTCATTGAATTATTTAGAGAGTAAAACGAAAATGTCCTACGCGATGCGGTGATAACCGAAGACCACAACAAAGGAAAACTGAAGAAAGTCGAACCTCAGGCAGAGCGCAAGCAATTGGATTTGGAATTCCGAGCGCGTTATGAAACGGTCGCGAAAGCTTTTTTCTCTCCTTCTAGTAAACCTTGCCGGAGATACTGGCGGCTTCTAATTCAATTATCGAAACAATCCCGATGAAAGGCGGGACCATTGTCGCTGACGAGAAGTGGGCATTCTCGTGAAATTCAATTTTTTAGTTTCTTGAAGCAGCTCTTGTCTTTTCGCTCTCTTTTGAACTCAGATAAATATTAAGATTCGGTAAAAGAAAACTTCGGTCTCCGACCTCGTTTGTAAATCGGACTGAAAACGACTAAGTGAAATCTCGCGACAAAAGGGCTACTAAAATGGATCGAATGCATGTAACGAGAGAAATTGGCCGACAATCTCTTTCTTCTTATTCAGCAACGCGTTCAATGCTAAGTTATCTAAGCGCAATATTGAATTTTATTAGAAAGAAAGAGTTTCTAATGTAATGCAGTGAACGCCCATGTTTACCATTAAGATATATTGCGTTAAAATTAAATTACGATTTCGCTTTATCGCCTACCCCTCATCTTGCAAGATACGAGCGTTTATTTAAAAAATTATAAATTGTAAACATAATCCTCCTCTTTGCATTCTTTCACAATGTATCAGTTCAGTCTTAACTCCTCAGCATATAGAAATAATAATAAGAATGAGATAATGAAAATAATTTATAAAATTGTTTTATAAAATAAAAATAAAAATCACGTCTCTTGTTTGCACTTCAAAGAAACGCATCTAATAATGTTTCGATATTATACAGTAATTAAAAATGTATTAAAAAAAAAGGAAGAGATAAGATTTGTATTGCCCGTGTAAAAGTAAATTAAAAAAATAAACAAGCAATTTCACCATTAATTTATAACAAAAAGGAAGAGTGCGCACAAAAGAAACTAAGGGAAACTGAGATGAAAATGTAGAACAACGACGAGAGGGCGGCAGGAAAATGTTGCGAGTTCCGGACGCCATTATTTTCCAAGATGGAACAAAACGCGGCGATGTAAAAAGAGCAGTCCGCCATTTGCGTATCAATTTCAGGAGCGCGATCTTTTTTCCGTACAAAAAGTGACACACGCTTTTGAACCATTAATATTTATCAAACAACAATGCGCCATCTAGAGCGTATCGATCCGCGCCGTCGAGTCCCTTCTAGATATACGCGTTGACGTTACGCAATATAAATTTTACGCACAATCGTTCGCGTTACAGGACAACTCCGTCGCGTCGGGGCCGTCAGCTATGATTTACCGTGGTATCTACACGGCTGCGCGATTTATTTAGCAATTTTACGACTGGCAGCAATATAAATAACGCGCTATAGTCGCGTAAGCCCTACGACAAATCCATCGAGGGTTAAGCCGGAGTCCGCCCTTAATGGCGAGTCC